GCAATTCAAAGAGGAATTTTTGTGAGCTGTTCAGTTGGAAACTCTGGTCCTTCCTATTCTACTTCATCAAATGAGGCTCCATGGATTCTCACCGTCGGCGCAAGCACAATTGACAGAAACATCAGAGCAACAGCACGGCTTGGGAACAAGAAAGTGTACAATGGCGAATCTCTGTTCCAGCCTAACAATTTTAACTCAAAAATTATGCTACCTCTTGTTGACGCAGGCTCACTTGGAAACCAAACATCAGCTTTTTGCGACGCAGGAACTCTTAAAAATGTTAAAGGGAAAATAGTTTTATGTGAGAGAGGTGGAGCAGGTGGAAGAATTGACAAAGGAGCAGAAGTAAAAAGAGCTGGTGGAGCTGCCATGATTCTCATGAACCAAAGGATTGATGGCTTTAGCACATTAGCTGACCCTCATCTGCTACCCACAGCACATGTGAGTTATGATGCAGGGTTGAAAATCAAGTTCTATATAAAGTCAACCACAAAGCCTACAGCCACAATTTTGTTCAAAGGCACTGTTATTGGAGATAAACATGCTCCGAGTGTTGCTTCCTTTTCGTCAAGAGGACCGAGCACTGCAAGCCCCGGGATTTTGAAACCGGACATCACTGGTCCCGGTGTTAGCATCCTGGCAACATGGCCTGTTTCAGTGGACAATGCCACAAAATCTAAGGCAACATTTAACATAATTTCAGGTACCTCAATGTCATGCCCTCACCTAAGTGGCATTGCAGCCTTGCTCAAGGGCTCACACCCTGACTGGTCACCCGCTGCTATCAAATCAGCAATCATGACAACCGCTGATGTACATAACCTCGGAGGTAAGTCCATTGTTGATCAAACACTCAAGGCAGCAGACCTTTTTGCAATAGGTGCAGGTCATGTTAACCCTTCAAAAGCAAATGACCCAGGGCTAGTCTACGACACGCAACCGAAGAATTACATCCAATATCTGTGTGGTTTGAATTACACAGACAAACAGATACAGATCATAACCCAACAAACAGTGGATTGCTCCAAAATTGGAGCCATACCAGAAGCACAGCTAAACTACCCTTCATTTTCTATTATAGTTGGCTCCAATAAAAAGACTAAGTCTCAGCTTTATACAAGGACAGTGAAGAATGTTGGGCAGGCAAATTCAACTTACAAGTTGGATATTTTAGCACCAAATAAAGTGGATGTGAATGTGAGCCCTGAGGTGCTTAAATTCACAAAGGTTAAGCAGACTATTACATATCGGGTGAAGTTTGTTGCACAAGAGGGTGCTGGGAAGGATGGTGT